ATGGTGATCCAATCCAAGGAATTGTGAAAGTACATTTCCTATGTTTCGAGAACAACATGACGCTGATTATTTAATTAGTCGAGTAATTTTGGCCCCAACTCTTGAAGTTGTAGACGAAGTTAATGCGTACATGACCAACTTGAATGTTGCCGAGTGTAGGACCTATTTTAGTTCTGATTCGGTCTGCCCCACTGAGAGTACCTCTGATGTTGTGGCTTACCACTCCGGAGTTATTGAACGGGCTAAAATGTTCTGGGTTACCAAATCATTGCTTAACATTGAAGATTGGGTCTCCTGCTATGTTGTTGCGAAATATTGACCCTTCAGCTGGGTTGTGTAATGGTACACGGTTAATTATTACAAGATTAGCAGACCACGTTGTTGAAGCAAGCTCTTATTTGGCAATGCAGCAGGCTCCAAAGTTCTGATCCCGCGTCTGTCCCTAACACCATTTGACAGTACATTGCCCTTCAAATTTTAAAGGAGGCAGTTCCCGCTTATGCTGTCCTATGCAATAACAATAAATAAAAGTCAAGGACAAACGCTTTCTACTGTTGGCCTACTTCTGAGAAAACCTGTTTTTGTACATGGCCAGCTATATGTTGCATTGTCTAGAGTCAGTTCACCAAGAGGGCTTAAGTTACTCATTCGCAACGAAGATGAAAAGTGTGCTTCTTCAACGATGAATGTTGTGTACAAAGAAGTGTTTAATAATTTATAATTTATAACAACTACATATTATTAAATCTTTGTTATAAATTGCATGTTATTTGGTGACATTAGTACTTATTTAATATTTTTGCAATCGTATATGTACAATTATGTGTAACTATATACTTGTATGTGTGTGTGTGCATATATATATATATATATATATATATATATACTATTTATGAATTTCTTTATTTATTTTCATACCGTGCAATGCACGGGTGGAGTACTAGTTAAAAAATAAAACGAACCACATTTCTTATGTCTTCATTGTTCTCATCGATCAAAATCAATTCTTTTCATTTGTCCCAATTGACAATTGTTGTCGATCTGCAATTAAATTCTACAATAAGAGATTAAAGAAAATTATTATTATGAATATTAAATAATATTTAAAAATAAAGAAATTTAAATGGAACTATAAAATAAGTTCATACTACATACCATATTTTTATTTTTCAATGCACAAGTACGCTTGGTATGCCTTTCTTTTTTAGAGTTGAACATGTAATTCCATTACTTTTAAGCTCTAAAGCTCCTTTCATTCTGATAGACCGAGGACGACCTTTAGTAGTCACACGAGGAGGATCACGCATTGCTACATTATTATCATCATCATCTTGATGACTTATCATGCTTGTCAAACAACCAGTGGTACTAGTCATGTCATCATCAATCTTCAATGCATCTAACTTTTTGAATAAACATTGCAAGCATTCTATTGTGGTGTCATAATGCTTTTTTGAACGTGAAGCTTTTTCAGAAAGTTGTAATGAGTGAACCATGATATTATTAAACAATGATGTTGAACACATATTGTAACTACTCATATCTTCTTCATTTGATGTGCTTGTAATTTCTCCTTTTTTGCATCTATTGTCCACTTTTTAAAAATGTAGTGCATAGGTAAAGAATATACATTTTTTCTTGATAAGAACCATCAACTGGTGTCTACAAAGGATGCCCAAAAATTCAAACATGTGACATGAGCACTCTATCGTTGTTGACGAACTCATGAATGTCACTATGTACTCTGGTTTTTCTTGTCAAACTCATGCACCCTATATACAGACTCATGCTCAATAGTAATAATTTTTTCTGCAACAAATTGCTGAGAATGAATCAATTCGTCTTGAAACATTCTAAACATCTTTCTTGTATAAACCTTTGAAGCTTCTTCCTCCATTGGATACAATGTTTTTAAGATAGGTTTTGAATTCAATGTTTTGAAGGTTTCTCCCTTTCTTTATTGTACCTTGCGTCAAGAGCCTTGTCATATTGAACAACAAACTTACTTATTGGTGTATTAGCATTTATATAATCTTTATTTAATGTACTTATTCATACTTTCACTTCTTTGAGTAGTAGACATTCCAGCACAAAAACTAGTACGTACATAAGCAGGAATCCATTTTTCACGAATGGAATACAACTTCTCAAGCCAACTATTTCCTCGTAAAGCATAATTGTCAAGAATTTTTTTTCCCATTCTACTTCAAAAAACAAGCACATGACTATGATCTTTAGTAAATTAGATATTACCCATTTGTCTTCGTCTTTTCTAGATACATAAATCATGGCTTTGCATCCCATGCGTGTTTTATCATATGGAGGTTTTTTCCTGTTGTCTCGCTCTAAATATTTTTTGCACGGTAACCTTGCTTTGAACAAACAAACTCTTGTCCAATAACCATTTGATTCTTTCTAGACTTTACTATGCGGCTTTTGCGAATTCCAAGACCTTCATATTTTGCATAATTAGTATAGCACATTAAAGCATCATCTAGTGATTGAAACTCCATTCCAATACATAACTCTATTGCGTCATTATTCACATCACTCTTCGCATCCGCATTGGCATTTTGTTCGATCTCACCTATATTAAATTCACCATTATTCACCAATTCATCATGATTGCTTTCACTCAATTCTGTAGTAATTTCACAACCATGATCTTCAATTTCGACTATATTATGGTCTTTATCATGGAAAGTAGCCATTATTAATCTATAAAGAAATATATAAAGGGATTAGAACACAAGTAAACCCATGAATAGTAGTATTTTAGGTTAAAGATTATTGTCACCAAGCAGAAAAATAGTAAAAAGAGAAAACATATGAGAGATGAACAATATAGTCATTACAATGTTCGATCATCATTCTTAGCCACTAACAAAATTATGCATATTATGCTCTTAAAATTTAAAACCCAAAACCCATAAATCAAGTTACAAACTCAACCTTTCCACTTTATATCAAAATTAAAGTATAGATTTTTAGAGTTTACAAATTAAAAAAATAAAATAAAATAAAAATCAATAGCTTAAAAAGATAATTTCAACAATAAAAAAATAGATATAAACAACAACTTACCGAAAGAACTCTTTACTAATAATACAGATAAAGATTCTGACAAAGAGAAAAGATTGACAGGTTGGGTTCTTTTTGAAAGAGAAAATTTGGATTTTGATGAATATATATTCTTACAAGATGTTGCAATTGTTTCTAATAGTGACTAAGGTTGTAATTTAAATTTAAGAGTTTAGGGTTTAAATAGATTTAGGAGTTAAGATAGATATAGGAAATTCGATGGTTTTGTTAATTAAAATTTAAAAATTCATAATTATAAATATAATAATTTACATATCAATTACAATTCTTAATTTAGAATTCTTTAATTTTAGTGTCCAGAAAAAGAATAGGAATTTATTTGTTTATTAGAATGCTTTTAACAGATTTTCAAAATAAAATAAAATTGCTTTAACGGGTTGGGTTGGATGGGATATTAATATTAATTCAAAATTATTAATAATTAGATAATTAGTAAGTAATAAGTATGTTTTTAGAAAATAGATATATTTTGTTAATTAGAAATAAAAGAGTTTCTTAAAAAAAAATACAAGTCGTAGATATTTTGTAAAAAAAGATCCGATTAATATTGAATTTATTTTTAATGATGTGTCATCTCCTCCTTCCACCGCCGATGTAAAGCGTCTATAGGTGCATCAAATATTAATCCTTTTCCTAATTCAAACCTTAATCCAAATTCTGCGGACAAAATAAATCCACTGCCAGCACACAATATTTTTCCTAATAAGCAGCTTTTCCACCGCCACACTGTTCGCTATATTTTCTTCAAAGTCGAAGTCGGAGCCGAGAAGTGCAAACTCAACGACGCAGTTTTCTGACTGTCTCGCCCACACTGCCCAGCCATAGCGAAGGTTTGGAGTTTGGATTCTCAAGAGTAGCTGTTCGCGCCGCACATCCAGCCTAAAAATCGGAGGTTATTTAATTTGAGCATACGCAAATTAGCAAAATTAGGGATTTAGGGTTCTAGCGGTAATCTGCAATCACAAATTCACCAAGTTGTTTAATGCTTGTATAGTTGTATTGTCCGATTTGTTGGCGACTGGGCAACGGATTCACCCTTTGAGCTCCCTGAGGAATTTCATTATCTCTGTAATTTCTCAGCTCACAAGGTTGCTTTTACTGCCTTCATGTGAGTTTTCCAATTGATTCTTTATTATTTACACTATTGGGATTTCCTCTTCTTTCTTTTTGCTGGTTTAATTATGTGGGGGAGGATTATTGATATTATATGTCTTTACAAATAATAAATAAACAATCTGCTGCCTTCCCCTGTGTGTATGTATACATTCTTCCGCCTTTCCTTTCAATCCCAGACACTAACTTCATACTGTGATTATAATCTTTAGGGATTAATGTTCAATAGATGTTCGTAGTGCGATTGAAATTGATTTCGATATATATTTATTTGTGTTTTTCTACTCTGCAATTTTTCATCCTTTTGTGTTGCAATTTAATTGCTATCGCGGTATCACCAAGTGCACTCATTTTAGGATATTGTTTTAACTTTAATTTGTTTCTTCTTTAAATTGCATATGTTGAAGTTATGTAAATGATGTCGGGAAGAGATCGAATCAGTCAACTTCCTATAGAAATACTTGACAATATTTTGGGATTTTTGCCGATCGTAGAAGCTGCTAGAACTGCCGTTTTGTCTACCATTTTGGAGAGATTGTTGGTCCCAGTCTCACACAGCTTAACTTTGATGATAAGTTCTTTGCTTATGTTGGGGAAAAATATTCTGGCAGTTATAATCGCACATCAACCTGTATGTATGTAATCAACCAAAGTTCTCATGCGGCACCATGGACCTATTCGGAATTTGCCTTGGTTTTTGATTGTGACTCCACCAATCATGAGTGATACGCATGGTTCTCGAAAATTTGACTTCGATCAATGGTTCCTTTTTATCACTCAAAAGGTGTTGAAGAAATGAACTTTACTTTTCGAACAGAGTTTGGTCCAAATAGATGCTTCGGGCTCCCAAATTGCATATTATCTTGCTCAACTCTCAAGAGGTTGGATCTCTGCGGAGTAATATTTCCACCAACAATAAATGCCCCTTTCGTATTTCCGAATGTCACTTCACTTAGTTTTGATGTCGTTATCTTTAGTGCTATTAATATGAATTGTGTTATAGATGTTCCTATGCTTGAGACTCTTTCATTCAACAATTGTGTAAATACATCATATTTCAACATTAAGGCTCCCAGGCTTGGCAGTTTAACACTCCAGTATTATTGCAATGATGACGATATCGACGATTATGTTCCTATTCTCCCGGTTAGCTTGGACTTGTCATTTATTCATACTCTTTGTTTGGATTTCAATTTCAAGCCTTTCAAGGTATATTAGCCAGTACTTTCTTCCTTATTTTTTGGCGGACTATTATTTATTTGAAATATATTTTATGAACTAATCCGTTTTATATATCTTTTTGTTTCCAAGCTTTTTGCCAGCGAACTTACTAGATGGGGACCTGAACTAAATGTGGAATGCGTGGAGTTATACGATGTCAATGTTCTTTATGATGATGACTTCTCTTCATTTATTCATTCATTACTAATATGTCCGAAATTACGCAAGCTTGACATATATCATTTATACGTAATCTTCATTTTCATTGATAGATTATTTAATGAAATTCTACTTGTTCTATTATTGTTTCGCATTACTTAATACAAGGTTATACCGGTGTAAAAGATGAATTGATTGAGGCTTTTTTTTTTTTTTTGAAGTTTTATGCAGAAATCTCTAGATCTATACTTTGGGAGGAACTTCAAAGTGCAGCTAAAGTGCTTAAAATGCTTCACACTTTTAAGCTTAGATTATTCAATGGGTCAAGGTTTGAATTGCAATTCATCGAGGTGCTACTTGCTTGCTTTCCCGCACTTGAAAAGGTTGTCATTATTCGCCATATGGAGTTTGATTCCAATGAGGAGTTTGAAATCATGCAAAAGTTTTTTCATTTTCCTCGTGCATCAAAGAAAGCAAAAATTGTTTACATATAAGCATCTTATTATATTTTTGTTGAATTAATATATGCATCTCCTTGATTCACTCTTTGAGTTCAATATTTTGTAATGTACTAATGGTTAACTCGAGTATCCTTACTATTTGAATCTTCGAGAACACTACCCTTTTTTGGTTTTGAATTAATCTTATGGTTGCTAGCTAGTTATCTACAAATATGCCAAAGGGAATGGACCTATTTTGTTGTGCTTTATAAAAAAGTTAAAAATATAAGAATTTTTATTTTCAATAATGACATAATGCATCATTCCTCCAAGATAGAACTCTAACAAGCCAGACAGCTGAAAAAAGAAAAAGAAAAAAAATATGGTGTTGATGAAATCAATCTTTCTTGTTCAGTAAAAGGATACAGGGTGCCGAATTGTATATTTTCCTTCCGAACGCATAAGAGATTTAGGGTGTGTTTGGTTCGTACATGAAAATTGGAATCGGAATGTGAATCAAATATTTTGTAATGGTAATGAGTTTTGGTGAAAGTATTTTGCATGTTTGGTAGTAGGGTGAAATTTGAATGATTTTTTTTTTTTTTTTGAATGATTATCATTATTGTTGTTTGATTATGTATGATCCTATAATGGGAATAAATGTTTTAAAAATACAATTACAAAAAATCAAGACAAATTATTTTAATATAAAGACATCCAAAACATCACTATGAACAAAAAAATAAAATAAAATAAAAAATCTAAAAGCACTAATCTAAACTTAAAAATCAAATTACCAATTAAAAAGAAAATAATGGAATGAAACCCTTATTTTATTAGGGAATGAGTTTTCTAATTAAGGGGTAATCAAATCTCATAATAGTGTTCTAAAAACCTATTGACTAAACAATAATAATGACTTTGATTTCCATTTCGAATAGCTAAACCCCTAAACCAAACACAACCTTAGTCTTTCTAAAATCTGTATGAACTAGTGAATGCTTATTGTGAATGTCACATCACTTTATCCAGGGACGGAGCCAGATATTCGGTTGAGGGGGCGAAGAAGTAAGGACGGATTTAAAAAAAAAATTCAGTAAAAGCGAAACATTAAAACAAAAGATATAATTTTTTTTTTAAAAAAAATACCTAAGAAATATAATTGTAAATATTGTTGGATATGGACCAAAAATAAAACACATCCGAAACTTTATAAAATATTCATAACAAAATATAAAACATAATTAATTTGATAAAATAATTTGAATAGAAAAAAACATTATAAAGTACACATTATATGTGTGTGTATTAAATATTAAAAAAAACTATTAAAAATGTGACTGTATTGAAGGTACAGGGAAAGGAGTAAAAAAAAAAAGAGACTGTGTTGAAGCCAAAATGATAAATATAAATAGAAATTTTAACAAAAGGACTGAAGTGTGTAAAACCATTAAAGTCTGAAGATTAAATTGAGCACAAAAAGTTATTTAGGATTAAATTGGGTGTTAACTCAATGTTTATTTATGAAATAAGTATTTTCTTTAAAGTCACCTGCAGGCTGCACTAGTAGGTACGACTGCGGTTATGCTCGATTCGGTTCCGATTTTCGTTTCGAATTGCCAGTTCGGACTTTTTTTTTTTTTTTTTTTCCTTTTTTCTAAATTATATTCCTTATTTTTAAAATAATCCAAAATCAACAAATATTTTATTTTTTAGAATTTTTTCATCCTAATTTTTTTAAAAAATGGTTATATCAAATATTTAAATATTAAAGTTAAACTAAAAAAAAAAAAAAAAAAAACTGAACTTGCATTTAATTTTAAAATCTATTTTACTTTTTTTTTTTTTCTACTTTGGAATCGTAAGTGGCCAGTTCCGGTTCTAATTCTCAATTTTAAAAAATCGAAACCACAACCTTTTTTGAGTCCCGATTTGGTTTCTACAGTGTCCATTTTAGTTTGAACTAGGTAGTTAACTGTGGTCATCCCTATAGCATTAGTTATCAAGATTCAAGAGTTAATTGATGATAGATTGATGCAAATTATACCATGGATTAGGTCCACCTAATATTGTAGACTACAATCCAAAATAACATTCAGATTATTTATCTTTAATTTATTTATCGACACATAATTTATTCCACCTGAGGTCCTTTGTCTTTGGTATTAATTTCAAATTTAGTCTCAGACTATCATTTTTGTCATTTAAAATCCCAGACTATTACTTTTTTGGATACTTTTATGGCCTGTTTGGTTCACGGCCACCACCATCGCCGCCGCCACCAGAACCACCGCCACCACCACCACCACCACCCCAGCACCACCACCACCACCACCGTCGCCCCCACCACTGCCACCGCCACAACCACCACTGCCACCGCCACAACCACCACTACCACCCGAGCACCACCACCACCGCCACCACCATCGTCACCACCACCTCCACCATCACCACCACCACCGCCACCGCCACCACCATCATCGCCACTATCACATATTTTTATAAGGGTATTTATGTCTTTTAAAACATATTTCATTTCTATTCCTTCAATCAACCAAACACTGTAATATAATTCCTAAAGTCTATTCCTTCCGCGAACCAAACAATATAATACAATTCCTATTCTATTCCTTGCCTATTCAATTCCTTATGGAATAGCATTCCTATTACCTCAAAATTCATTCCGTGAACCAAACGTGCTGTTAGTCCTTCTCATTACTTTTCTTATTTTTAGTAAGGGCATTTTTGTCTCTTCATATTTTTCTTTTGTTATTTTTTCAGTTTTAACAAGTTTAATTGGTTTAGGACTTTACTAAAAACTAGTTGAAAAATATGGTTACTAAAAATCAGAGGTTACCTAAAGTCCTAAACCAATTAAACCGGTTGAAACCAAAAAAATAACAAAAGAAAAGTATGAAAAGACAAAACTGTCCTTATTAAAAATAGGAAAAGTCATGAGTAGGACTAAAAGTATCCAAAAAATAATAGTCTGAGATGTTAAATGACAAAAACGATAGTTTGGAACTAAATTTGAAATTGTCACCAAAGACAAATGACCTCTGGTGGAATTAACTCATTAAAAATATTAACTGGAAATGATGGATTATATGAACCCGGGGGTCCGGATTATACAACCCGTATATGAAATGGAATATAAAGAACGAATAATAAAAGGTAAATATTATATTAATTGGACATAAAATGTTATTACAGAGGTTCGGGACGTGTAATAACGTTGTAAGTGTTGTAGGAAAAATACGAGATGCTTCAATAGGACACCGGGGGGTGTTTTTATACCCCCCCCCCCCCCGCCGGACCGGGCCCGGGTCACGCGGGAGGAGCCGCGGCCCGCGCCGCGGGACTCGCTCCACGCGAAGACCCGGTCCTTGGCGGAGCGCGGAGCTCGGCCAAGGTGTCGGCCATGGGCTCGGCCAAGCCCGCCGAGCCAACCTCACGCCAGGCCGACCCCGGGGTGGCCGACCCCGCGTAGGCCGACCCGGGGTGTGCCGGCCGACCCCGGGGCGCTGAGCCCATGTTGGCCGACCCCGGGGTGCCGAGCCCATGTTGGCCGACCCCGGGGTGGTTCGTCACTCCGTGCGCGTAGTAGCCGAGGACCCCGTGACAGTAGCCGAAGACCCCGTGGTAGTAGTCGAGGACCCCGGGGAGGTAGACCCCTCCATGGTCTGTCCGGCCGCGTGCGTTGTCCACTCGGTGTCGGGTGTGATCCGCTCCAGGTCCGCTCCGTAATTATTCCATCATCAGTCCCCCACTCTCGGGGCTACGAGAAGTCGTCAGCCCAAGAGAGTACCAAAGTCGCTTGACAATTACGGACACCCTCGTGTTCTAACGCTTTTTTCTTCGCATATGCTTGTTGTTGTGCAGGCTGTCGCATTAGCGGCGTCCATGGAGAGCGTGTTGGGGACCCATCGGGCTCAGCAGGGGGGCTGAGATGAGGGGTCGCAAAGAGCTGGAGGCGGCGCACAAGGCCATGGGGCGCAAGCATGAGCAAGCATGAGGAGGCTTTGATGGCAGTCGTGTCGAGCTACAGGGACTCCGAGGTGGGCTTTGAAGGCAGCCCTGTCAAGCTACAAGGACTCCGAGGTGTTCATCAAGGATGTGAAGGCCCACCTCGCCGGGTAAGCGGTGGAGCCCTTTTGGGACCTTCTATGCGACCCCATTGGGAAAGGGCTCATGGCTGTGCAGGGTTGCAGATGTATAATGTGGGAGAGTATGTGATGGCGAGTAGGGTTTAGTTCGCCCTTTCCAAGAGAGACGAGACCCTCGACCCCGTGGTATGGGGTCTCCCGGCTGACCTTGGGAACCTGGAGTCACCAGCCGTCCCATCCGGACTTGATTTCAGACCATCCACATGGTGCTTGTTATGATGTTCCTTTGGAGCGGAGACTTCCTCGAGAGGTCGGCGGAGACCTCCCCGAGGGGTCGGTCGAGACCTCGTCGAGATGTTGGCGGGGACCTCCTCGAGAGGTCGGTGGAGAACTCCCTGAGAGGTTCGCTGGGACCTCCCCAAGAGGTCGGCTGAGACCTCGCCTAGAGGTCGGCGGGGATCTCCTCGAGAGGTTGGCATAGACCTCCTCAAGAGGTCGGCGGAGACCTCCTCGAGAGGTCGGCGGAGACCTCCCCGAGAGGTCGGCGGGGACCTCCTCGTGTGACACCCCAAAAATCCACATTCCAAACCATGAATTAATTTAGTAATTAATTCTATTTCTTTTGAGGAATTGATTCCTAAAATCATGATTTTTGATACTCAAGGACTAGAATTTGACTAGTCAATCTTTAAGTGGAGTTGTACCTTGTGCTTTGAGAATAGTTCCCTTGTTCCCTACACTTTTTGAGAGTTAGTAAGGGTAACCTTGTCTTTTCACCATGAGCTAGTTCTTTGTAACCTAAACCTAAAAGACTACCCCATTTCATCCCTTACATTCCATACAAAATATCTCCATCTTCTCTCTAGAAAACAAGAGTAGCTTGTTCTTCAAGCCAAAAAGAGCCTTTGTCAAGATTCCAAGTTTTGCTTCCAAGATTCAATCTTTCCTCTATTTTGGCATCTAGAAGGGTAAGATCTAAGCTTGTCTAGTCTTTTTGGTTCCATCTTAGTTGTCTTTTTGTTAAAGGTTGGATCTTTATGATCT